CCTTGAAGGAGTACTCTTTTTGGAGTCTCGATTTAGAAGTCTTTTGTTATCTTCGGGGTTGTTGTTGCAATATCAAATTAACGTCAACAACTGCTGCAAGTACCTTCCCCTTACCACGGAAGATGAAGCTTGAGTTCGGAGGGTTAGCCGTCGATTGGCTTCTTTTGGCTTTCTTCATTCTGAGGAAGAATTCGGCCTGCTCTCCGCGTACTTTTAACTCTTTCCAGGTGTTAGACGGTGCTACTCTCATAACTTCCAAAATATCAATGGATAGGTTGTTATGATAGGTTTGGAGGATGAAGTCCTCTGTAACTGGATCTCAACAATTCATCGCCTTGTTTCAGAAGCGCTTGATGAAGTCGTCGACCGTCTCTTCATCTTCCTGTTTCTCCTCAAAGAGTATCCTGATGGATACCTCGGTATCGTCATCAAAGAAATTACCGAGGAATGAGCTTTCTATGTCATCCCAGCCGTTGATGCTTCTAGGTTTGAGATGACGATACTAATCGAAGGCAGGCCCACGAAGGATGCCAACGAATGATAGTACCATCAAAGGCTCATTGCCAAAGATCACTCTTAAGTGGGACTTAAAATAAATAAAGTGTTGAGTGGGAGAGCCTTTCCTGTTGAACGGTATGAAGTTGATCAGGTTGAACTTGGCTGGATACAGGATCAACTCCCACTCTCTTGGATAGGGACACGGAATACCAGTCTTCTTCACCTATCGAGCAGACATCAGAGCATTGATTTTGCTCTCGAGGTCATTTATCTTATCGTCGTCGTCTGTATCATGCTTTGGACGATTTCTGAGAGGAACAACGCGGTCACCCCCGACATTGTTATCTTCGGTGGAACCACCCCTAGCATCGTTATTTTTAGTGGGGCCACCCCCAACGTTGTTGTTTTCAGTGGGGCCACCCCCAGTGTTCTGGTCAACGGGAGGATTATCAGCATTAAGGTGTTCATCTATATCTGAATCGCTAGCTGCTTGGCTAACATTGTTGCGACAACTGGATTCACCTATCTGATTCGACAAGGCTCGAATCTGTTGGTGATACTCCTCTCTCATCTGCATCATAGCCATTTCCATTTTAAACTTGAAGCTCTCTTTTTGCTTATCCAAAGCATCCTCGATGATTTTGGCCATTTGCTCGTTGTTGATCATAAATACCTCACTGGATTGTCCTGGGCTGGATATCGTATTATCAAAAGCGACTGTAGAGTTAGCATCAGATACTTCATCATCTGAGGATAATCCTCTATTCATCCTCTGATAGTCCCTATGCCTAGTAGTTCCCACACATAAACAAGTTATACGTTAGGATACATCCAAAAAATGATGGGGACTGAAACTCTGTGTTGACTTTCCTTTATCGACCATATTGATAGTGACTTCTGGGAGTTCGTCATCTTGCACAGCTGATCTTTTTCTATGGAAACGCTTTGGCTTGGACTTAGATATTCTGGTGGAGATCTTTTCTAATACCAAGACCCTCTATAGAGCGGCCTTGGGGCAGCTACATGCTGATAATACTGTCCTGATTAGTTAGGCATACGGACAGTGAGAGTCCACTTCCAGTGTACTTCTCTTTCAAGATATATTCATACCCCCAGCCCGATAGTACAACTCATCAGCATAATTATTGGAGCAACCTATCGCGTGTTGGCATGACTTCTCAGGTATAACGTTAGTGTTTGACGAACACGTTTCCTTCTGAGGACTTGCTGCTTTGTTGGCGTTCCCGAGAGTCAAGCATTTTGAGCCACGCTTTCGTGAGCGTGGGGTCTTAACGGGCTCTTGGACTTCGATTCGTGGTCCGATGTGGTTGGTTACTAGAATTTTCCCTTTATGAGAAGCCTTCATGTTGTTATGAGAGCGTGTGCGACCCCCAGCTCGTCGAGTTGCTCAGGGTTCATTCACTGGGCCCAAACGTTCTTTGATCGGAACTTTGCCTTGATCCTCATGCAAAGGACCCAGGATGTCCGCTATCCTCTTCTTGAACCGGGATAAGTCCACACTATCGTGGGGCTCCATCAGAGGTGCGGGATTCATCAGGACAGGAATATGGCTATCGAAGGCTTAAACAGGACTGTAAGAGGTGAACCGGGTGCAAAATGAACCGAACCGGTTCGGTTCAGGCACAAACCACTATTTGGTGGCTCGGCCCAGGCTGAGCCACCATTTGGTGGCTCGGTTTTGTCTGAGCCACCATTTGGTGGCTCGGTTTGGGCTGAGCCAGCCAGGGGTGGTTCACGAGTTCCAGGCGTTGTTCGACCTTTTTTCAATGTCGTTTCGGACTTTAGCTTTCAAACTTGGCGAAGTTTTTGTGGCTTCTTGACAACCTCTTCCTGCTTCAGCTTCTGCGCCTATTGCACAAGAATCCGTGCATGCGCGAGTAACGCATGGTGTTTCTCGATCCGTTCTTCGAGTGTTGAAGCGTCCTTTTGACACAGACCCATTCATTCATCACTATCTTGGAGGAGGAGTCGCCTGCTCACTGTTGCGGTGCTTGCTGCATTCTGGACTTCAGATCCGTGTCATAGTGGATTCCGTTAACTGGCTCCAAAGCTTTGGCCAGCTGGTGCGTGAGGCGTTGGCGCTGCCTTTGGCGAGCTCTCTTTGATAAATTACGAGCGCCTCCAGCGGCTATCTCCTTGATTGAGGAGAAGTCCAGATCTACAGATCCGACCTCGTTGGAGGCTGGAGGGGCGTTGTAAGGTAAGATGGCAACAGCAACGGGGGCCTTGATCTTCCTACGCTTGTGAGGGGCGGAAGATCTGGAGGAGGAGGACGACATGTACTCCTCAAATTTCAGTTGGTCGAACTTGTACTCGACCTCTTCGTCAACCAGGATCCGGATCCATGGTTGTGGCACGATAGCTTCGGCAGCGAAGCTGTTGGCTCCCATTGTGGTCTCCAGCGTGTTTGTGTCAAAAGTTAATTTTATTGCCAACAAACTCATTACAACCATTTATCGATTACAAGTTCGAAGAAAAAGGAAAAGTAGATCTTTTTTTAAGATCGAATTATACAATGAAAATAAAAGAATATAACTCTTGTCAAATAACACAGCAGCAGTTTATCTCCTATTGTTTGTGTGTGAACTTCGCATGTGCCAGGGACGCGTTAGTCCGTGGACCACCATGGACCAGATCTGGTTGACAGATTGATAACCAATACTCTTACTTTATGAAGAAAGTAATCGTAGCAGCGGTAACCTCGACCAAGCGAGATTATGGCTCTTCTCAAGATTAAGACCAAGTTTAAATCCGAAGGAATAGGGGGTAAGGGTCTCAGATCTCTCGAAATCCACTCTTTATGCATGGGAGATCACTAAGATCTGGTTAACCCTCTTTGAAATTCGTGGCTATGCACTCAGAAAACCAGTAGCACCTCCCCCTCTTGATTATTTTTTTCGCCCCCTAGAAATGAGCTCCCAGGCTTGTATTTATAGGCTTCGGTTAGGGGATTTTCAGATAAGAATGATGGATTCGGTCTTATCTTTAGTTAATAACTATGTAACCATGTTTGGAGATGATATCTAGGTAGTTAGGAACCTCTAGAACAGAAGAAATCCTGTGAAAACCCGTCAAAAACCAAAAAAGATGTTTTTGGCTTAAACCTGGTCGAACCGAATACAAAGCGAACCGAACCAGTTCGGGTCAGGCGCAAACCACCATTTGGTGGCTCAGCCTTGGCCGAGCGACCAAATGGTGGCTCGGTCTTGGCCGAGCTACCAAATGGTAGCTCGGCCTTGGCCGAGCCT